GCAGGTGGTGGAGGGCAAGGTCAGCAGGTGGTGGAGGGCAAGGCCAGTGAGTGGTGAAAGGACTCCTGACCACAGATAGACACTCAACTCCATTACCCAACACCAGCGCAGATGCACGGCCAGCACTCACCTGTGAATGGTGAGCCTTGTATCACCCAAGACCAAAGTGGCAGTAGCCACTTCTGGGGGAGCATCTCTCCTTGGCAAGCCCACATCCAGACACAAAGTAGGTCAAGTTCCTGGAGGCTGAGGGGAGCTTCCCAGCTCCCTGAGTGTCATTTCTCCAGCTGTAAAATGCAGGTGATCAGACCCAGCTTCCAGGGCAGTTCCGAAGACTGAGGTTGGGTGTATACAGGACAGAGGAGAGAATGGGGTACAGAGTGTAGCCAGCTTTCCTCCGTGCATTTCGGAGTGCTGGTAAGGTGCACTTGTGACCCTCTGCTCATCACTATGCTTCTAATGCTCCTGCCCAAACCTGCCTCCCGTTCCTTCAGAGAACTGGCTTCAAGATGGGTTTCTTCTGAGCGTCTCTCAACGTGACCCCCACACCTAATGAAAAATCAAAGTGCAACTTGAATATCCCCGGACAGGTGTAGCTGATAGCTTTGTCCCCATATTCTGGAACCAACAAACGTAAAAACCCAGACTTCCTCCAAAGATACTGAGTTCTCCATCATCGGTGGGTTAAAAGGACAGGCCAGCATCACTTGCAGAGGAGGTTGCAAAAGGCATTCGTGTATTGAAGAGAAGCCACAAACTATAGCCTTCAAAATCCACAGGGGTTGGCCTGAGCCTCTGATTTTCTGTGGTTAGACTTCAGGACTGCTTTGAAGACAGAGCCCAAAGCCTTCTTGATAGAGTGCCTTCTGCCTATGGCAGGTATGTATGGGCATGTGAGTTCAAAGCCAGTACAATATTGGCATGGAGGAATTAGAGAAGAATGAGGAGACAGGGCAGGAGGGGGTACCCCCATGGCCCAGCAGACCTTTCTGCTAATATGGCTTGCTGACTTCTCAAAATTCCTGAGACTCCACCTCTACAGCCCCAGAGGCTGAGCTGTGATAAAATTTACCCTCTCCCAAGGCCTGAGGCACACCAGGTATCTAGGAGGGAGATGAACTCACACTCACTCCCAGAAACATCGTAAGATTCCACAGTGGTTGCTCTGAAAATCTGTTGGGGGCCCAGAAAGGCATCAAGGCAGCTCTTTGGAAGACAAGCAGACAGCTGCGAAGGGAACCAAATCCTCGATTACTCTGGGGACTGGAGCCTTTGAAAAGAGATGGTTTAATGAAAAGGTGCTGTCAAGAGCTAACCGCCTAGAAGGCAGCTTGTCCTCAGCTGGCTGCCTTCTCCCTGTTGCCTCCCTTCTCACTTAGGAGCTCCTGCTCAGCCCTGCAGACCCCAAGACCTCAGTGCCTGAGGCTTAACCCCTGCGGTTTGGACAAAATGGAGCCATAGCGCTGAAACGCACAGGCCTCCTTGACGCCCGGAGACTGTCCTGCTACCCAGCCTGTGGCCCTGGGTTCTAGACCTGTTGTTCCCACCGACGCTCCATCAGCCACTTCCCTAGCCGGGTGGTGATCATGGCAGCCGTGGCTTGGAGAAGACAACGCAGCCACAGGTGGCTTTCTATGGATGGGTCAAGTGCACAAAGCTATTCAGTGTTTGGCCAAGAGGACTTCTAGCTTAGAATTAGAATTCACCTCTGGAGAGGACTTAACCTTGACAAGTAATTTCTTATTTAATTTTCTAACACTCCTTTGATATGGGTACCGTTGTGATTCCCATTTTAGAGACAAGGAAATTGTGAAGGGATTTGTCCTTGGTCACACAGCTAGAAAGTGACAGAGCAAGGATTTGAACCCAGATTGGTGTTATTACCAATTATTACTACGGTTATGACCAATCTGGATTCAAATCCTTGAATCCAGTTCAAATCCTTGAATCTGACAATAGTTGGGTTGGCTTTCGAGTCAAGCTCACACACTTTCCTCCTTGTCCGGAGCTCCCTAATGCTGACATGCTGTCTTGAAGCACCCTCTAGATGTCACCTGACCCCTGATTCCCTGTCCCCATCTTTAACCTCCAAGTACTTCCAGGCCTGGCCTGCGCCCGAGCTCCGCTTCCTCCTCCACAACCAGCTCTCCCTGCCTCTGCTCTGCGTCTGATCTTCTTCCTGAGTTCCAGAACTGCTGCCACCTGCAGGCCTCTTGTGCAAAGATGCTTGAGCTGTAATAGAGGATGTCAGAGCAGTAGGGCTGGGGACCCAATCCCTGCCAAGTATGCTCCGCCACGGGGGCCAAGTGAGGGCAGAGGCCCCGGAGTTTTAGTCTCCTGGAGAGATTTGCGTCTGGGCTATGCTGCAATGCCAATCCGGATCCCGCAGGAAAAGATGGCGGTGCACTGAAGTCAAGTGCACGTAAGTGGTGGGAGGCGCTGACATGAGTTCCAAGGGACATCTTCCGTCTGAGATGAGTCCGTCTCCTGTTGCAGTCCTGCCCGAATGCTCTCGGAAGGAGTATTGTGTGCGTGTTTCTATACTACCTTCCTTTTCTATCTCACGAAGGTCTCTACTGGCTGGACCATAATGCAGCTGGAATCTATGAAGCCATGAAATGTTCCCTGTGATTGAGACTAGGATGGGCTCTCTTCCTCCAAGTAATAGATGCAATCAACGCTGATCAGTGAGGGATCAAGACAGCCGCAGCCTCATGGCAACAAACAGATTTAGAAGCTGTGGCTGAAATCCAGACTGCACCCCAAAACTAGGCATGGTCTGCTAAGGGACACAGTCCAGTCGGAGCGAAAGGCTAAGTCCATAGCTCTGGTTTTAGTTCTAGATTTGCCACTGGGAGACTGTGCCAGCCTCGGTAGCCAGCTCCCTCGGCCTCAGCAGATAATTCACATAGAGGAAGAAAGTGGGTGGAGGGAAAAAAGACTGTTGGCTAACTTTGCACCCTGTAAGAGGTAAGCACTATGGGAGTTGCTTTCCGTAAACTACCGCCCAATCCCCTAGGGGGCAAGTATCAGATTCCCACTTTAAAAAGGAGGAGGAGCCGGGGTCAGAAAGATTGGCCTCCACATCACACAGAGACTTAATGGTATATATGGAATGCGAAGCAGTAACGATAGCAATAATAGTTAACAAGAATCCAACAACAGTTAATATGCGTGTAGAATAAGCTGTGTTCTGGACAATATGTTGACCCCTTGAAACCTCACCAAAAAAACCATCAGGTCAGTAACATTATCCCACTTTTACAGATGAAGAAACTGCATACTGAGATCTGTAGCTTCCACCCAGTGCCAGCTGCTCTGACATCTTTCCTCTTCATGTGACAGAAGTGTCATGAGGGCCAGTGGCATCGGGGAGCAGGACATACTGCATTTTCCCCAAAAGAAAGTGGCCCCTGGACCTTCCTTGGCTTCCTTCCCAGATCGGAAGGGAAGGGATATTTCCAGTGTGAAAGGGACTGGATATTTCCAGAGTGGACAGGAAGGGATATTTCTGCAGCTGGCCTCTGACAGCACCAGTAAGCACCATGGCTTTCAGGAATACAGGAGGATACCTTTGACAGCTCCAGGCCCATCACCAGTTGCATCCCTGGACCACAGGGAAGGGCAGCGGCTCACTGCCTCATCTGCCCAGTTCTCACCTGGAGGCAGCAAAGGCTGTTTAACCGCTGCTGGTGAGTTGAAAGCCCAGGAGCTGGTGCAGATTTGTTTTGTTTGTTTCTTCTGTGCTCCCACGAAACTGTAGTAGGGGGTTTCAGAGGTGGAAACCCTGGGGAGCAGGGTGAGGGTGGGAAGGAAGAACTGGGTTAGCAGCAGGTCTGGAATGGGTGAGCAAGTGGGAGAATGAACAGGAGATGAAGGACTGAGGATAGGAAAGGTAGGAGACGGAGACAGAGAAAGAAAGACAGATGGAGACACGGAAACAAAGAGGCAGAGATCAAGGCAGAGAGATAGTGAGAGAAGGAATAACACCAGGGCCGAGGCTCTCCCCACTGACGCTGCTACCTGAAGGCTGGGCTGGCCTGGGCGCGCCCCAGGCCATGTGACTCTTGGCCTCTACTGATGCTAGAGTTCTACCACCTTCCGAAGAACAGAGCGGAAGCCTGCTTCTAGTCTGGGTACATGCAGGATGAGGCTCCATCATGGTGACTGTCCCCTAGATCAGCGTCACCACAGCACCTGCAGCACGCATGGCCTCCTGAGCAGGCTCACATGTGCCATGCAACCTCCTACAGGAAGGAGGTTAGAGACTGGAAATTTAAGCTTAGAGGGAGAAGCAACATGTTTAGGGTCACGCAGCAAGTTAGTGCCCTGCAGAGATGGGAG